GATCTTCCCAGACCGGGGCACGAACCCGTGTCCCCTGCATCAGCAGGCGGACTCTCAACCACTGCGCCACCAGGGAAGCCCTATGTCTGTGTCTTTATTCCTGTCCTGCCCCTAGGTTCTTCAGAACCTTTTTTTAGATTCCATATATATGTGTTAGCATACAGCATTTGTTTTTCTCTTTCTGACTTCCTTCACTCTGTATGACAGACTCTAGGTCCATCCACCTCACTGCAAATAACTCAATTTCGTTTCTTTTTATGCCTGAGTAATATTCCATTGTATATATATGTGCCACATCTTCTTTTTTGTTTGTTTTTTTTGTTTTGTTTTAATAGTTCTATAGTGATCTTCTTTTTTAAAGTATTTATTTATTTATTTATTTATTTTTAACATCTTATCCTTGCTCAGGGGCCATGCTAATCTTCTCTGTATCGTTCCAACTTTAGTATATGTGCTGCCGAAGCGAGCACTGTCCCACATCTTCTTTATCCATTCAGCTGTTGATGGACACTTAGGTTGCTTCCTGATTTTTATCTTAACTAAATATTTACTTTAAATGATGACAGCATTTCATTTGAAACTTTCCTTTATTGGCCATTCATGTTTTTGTGCATATTATTTTCTGTTGAAAATATACGTTGAAAATTTTCTAACTAAATTTCATATACATGGAAAAATTAAGGTTATTTGTATAGACAACCATGATGTTCATGGTCATTCAATGTGAAATCAGTGTCTATCACAGAATCAAGCATTAGTTAGAGTGGGTAATATTTTTAGGTTGATGGTGGTAAGTACTTTGTTTTATATAATTTGATGATTTCAAATGTGTTTACTTAAGGCACTTTAAAATGAAGTATTCACATGATAATTTCTCTGTTACTGACACCATGTCATGTAAGAAAGCAACAGAATGGTGCTATGATACGGGGGAAGGAAAAGGAAGTGTTTATTGTAGCTTGGACATGTTTCATACTGTCGCCAAAGAAGTTCTTACTGCAACAGTGTAGAATCAGTTTCCCCTTTGAGTGATAATTTCTTAATAAAATAATTTAAATTCCATAAAATAAAAGGCCACAAACTCAGAAAATCTATCAGGACCAGGTAAGCAATATGTGGATGAAATGGACTGGGCAAAGCAAAAGACTTGGCACTACTGATGCTCGGCGTCATTGAGAGAGGCAGTGGGAGCAAGCAGGGTCAATGATGAACTGTTGAGAGTACACCCCTTTTAAAGGGACTTTTTTTTTGCTATTCAAATACAGGGAATTGGAGGCCTGGAATTAAATGTGTCAGTATATTTCCGTTTTAAAAATGTTGACAGTTGTGAATTCCCTGGTGGTCCAGTGGTTAGGATTCGTTGCTTTCACTGCCTAGGGCACAGGTTCAATCCCTGGTCGGGAAACTAAGATCCTGCCAGCCATGTGGCAAGGCACACCCCCCCACCCCCGACCCCACGCCCCGGCAAAAAAAAAGAAAAAGTGTTGACAGTTAATCCAGAGTTACATTCTAGGAGCTAAGAAAAGTTTATGATCCAGGTCCAGTCTGTGGGCTACTTCTTTGTGACCTCATATAAATATCATCTTGATGAAATTGAGTTTAATTTTATAAACAGGCTTTATGCTGTGTATACAAAGTCTGTATGGGAATGAAAAAGTGTGGCAGAGAAGTGGTTTAAAAGAACCTTAGACTTGGGGAAGTACAGCTATAGAGTCACAGGGCTCAGATTCCTGCCTTTTTTGTTTAGTCTCTGTATGGCCTTAAATGACCATTTTACTGGGTCTTCCCTTCTTTAAAATGGGGTTATCTTGCCCTACTTCCCACATAAGATTTTTTCTGAGAACTCTGAGTATTTCCACAACCATCAGCAGTGTGAAAGCATGTGTTCAAAAGCACCCTGGATGGGAGGGCCTGGCTAGTTCTCTGCTGCTGTTCTCCAGTTGTGCCCTAGCTTATTTAATCTGAGACTGGTCCAGCACAGCTAGAGCGACTAGCACACCAGGAGTTAGCAGGCCATTCGCAAGTAGTGCAACAGCTTGCGAACCCATTCCACAGCTTAATCTCTTAACACACACAAGCTTCTCAGTGACATGCAACCCATTGCTGTATGATGGTTTCAATAACAAATAATTTAGATCATTGTTTAGATCTATCAAATCTATCATTTGCCACCCCAAAGATTCTTGGTATTCTAAACTGGTGCTGTTAATAGAACTGTCTCTGATGAAATAAGTGTCTGTATCTGCACCTTCCAGTGCGGCATCCACTACCCTTATGTTGTAGCTGTGCACCATTTGAAATGTGGCTAGTTGAGATCAAGACTGAATTTTTATTTAAGTTGATTTAAATTCATCACATGGGGGTAGTTACTACCTTACTTATTGGACAGGCCAGTTCTAGGCTATGGGAAATCCTCCTGCTGTGGTCTCCATTGCCCTGGACCCCCGCTTTATCACAGAGCACACCAGCACTCACTTGATGCCTGTCATACTTGCTATGAGCTAACTTTTCTTTCTCTTTTTCACTGTTGCGTATGGAGCATCTAGCATGGGTTTGGTACTCAATTCATTTTTATTGAATGGGAAAAGTCAGGTTACTCTGCAAGATAAACCATTTTTACTGCCTCGGGAGGAATTTAATTATTTAGGTTTTCAGTTAATCGTCATAGTTCCTTTTGTGATCTGAACTGCATAATAATTTGGGGGTTTTGTTGAACAGAAAAATTTGAAAGGAGTCCAATTAGAGTAAAGATCATTATTACATACTTATTATTTTGTCTCTGAGATAGCAGTGATTGCTGATCAAGGTTTCTGGGTCATTTGTTATCTGTACTAGAAGATACCACTGTGCCTCAGATTTAACATTTCATTGCAGTGACTGATTTGGATTTTCAGGTTGATAAGTTAGGCATAGCTGATTAAAAGTCATAAGAAAATGATTTGAAGAGCCATTACTTTATGACATTCTTCTTTCAAATTATAAGTGAATGAATACGTACTTTATTGGAGGAACATTAGTTTAAGCACAGTATTAAGAGATTTCAGAAGAATTTTAAGTATTTAAAAAATCTATTTCTTTTGATACCTTCTAACTGGAAAGAATAATCCTGTGCTGTTTTACATGTACATCTAAGAATATATATCAAGATAATTTTATTACAATAATAAAATAGCAGAACACTGCAGGCTCTGTTTTGTTTTCCATGTGGCTATTCCAAAAAGAAGTCGCTGCTTATGAGAAAATAGGTAGCACAGTGTGATCAGTCTCTGGGAGCTAAAAATAATTGTGCTATATAATGCATGACATATTGAAAAATAAAAAAAAATGAACGAATTGCCTACCACCCTACAGAAATCTGTTAGAAGTTTGGAAACTGTGATGCAATATCTATACTTCTGGCCAGCTACCTAACTAATACCAAGTCCTTTTAGCAGCATGTGTAGTATTTGTATTAATTGTAATATAGTACTGGCCAGTGGGTTTCCTAAAATAGAATTCCCTCATGGTCACTCATTACTATAAAAATGCTAGCCTAGATAGGACTACATTCTGGAAATTAGAAAAATGTTAAATTTTCATGTGCATTTGAATATAACTACTTTAGAATCATATGTAGATTATAGCCTCAGAGAACAAGTACACTGGCAGAATTTCAATTTCAAAAAATGACAAAAATGTAATTGCAAATTAGATGGAAATTTCATCCTATGGTCTTCTAGCTACTTTGGCATCTGAGCTCAAGTGTTAAAGTTCTATTTAGTAGTTACAGGTTTTCAAAACTACATTGCCCAAATCCAGCATCATGTTTTCTTGTAAAAATAGTTACAGTTCCCTCAAAAGATTAAGATGAGGCTTAATAGAAAACGGAATAAACCAAGTGATAACGTGCATAAATAAGAAGCGCGCAGGCCAGGCTGGGGTGATTATGTGTGTATTCCAGCACCTGTGACCGGCCTCCCGTTCTCACTTGGTGCTGTCTCTTTGTTGCAGTAATGTGCCTAGTGTCGGGAGCCTAGCAGATCCAGATTATCTGAACACACCACAGATGAACACCCCGGTGACGCTGAACAGCGCTGCCCCAGCCAGCAACAGTGGAGCAGGAGTTTTGCCATCTCCAGCAACCCCTCGCTTCTCTGTCCCCACACCACGAACCCCCAGGACCCCAAGAACTCCCAGAGGAGGGGGCACTGCCAGTGGTCAAGGGTCTGTTAAATATGACAGCACCGATCAGGGGTCACCAGCCTCTACCCCCTCTACCACACGGCCTCTTAATTCTGTGGAGCCCGCCACCATGCAGCCAATTCCTGAAGCTCACAGTCTCTACGTGACTCTGATTCTTTCTGATTCCGTGATGAATATCTTTAAAGACAGAAACTTTGACAGCTGTTGCATCTGTGCCTGCAACATGAACATCAAAGGGGCGGATGTTGGGCTTTACATCCCCGATTCTTCCAATGAGGACCAGTACCGCTGTACCTGTGGGTTTAGTGCGATCATGAATCGCAAACTTGGTTACAATTCGGGCCTCTTCCTGGAAGATGAGTTGGATATTTTTGGGAAGAATTCTGATATTGGTCAGGCTGCCGAAAGGCGCTTAATGATGTGTCAGACCACCTTCCTTCCACAGATGGAAGGAGCCAGGAAATCCCAGGAGCCACCGATAAGCCTTCTCCTCCTCCTGCAGAATCAACATACACAACCTTTTGCTTCACTGAGTTTCCTGGACTACATTTCCTGTAACAATCGCCAAACTCTTCCCTGTGTGAGCTGGAGTTACGACCGGGTGCAAGCAGATAATAATGATTACTGGACGGAATGCTTTAATGCCTTGGAGCAGGGTCGGCAGTATGTGGATAATCCCACAGGTGGCAAAGTGGACGAAGCTCTGGTGAGAAGTGCCACTGTGCACTCTTGGCCTCATAGCAATGGTAGGTTTCCCAGAATACAAATTTGCTTTGAAAATTGTCTTGGTGTGATGATAACTTGCAAACTTTCTTTACTTTGTTATATATGACAAAATTTTAAATTTCATTTATTAAAAAATAGACATAACTAAAGTGAGCTATCTTGATATCACCCTAAAGTTAAGAACGGGGAGATGTTTTATATTGAAACACATTTGGAGAAGAGTAATGATTTTGTGGAAGAAAAGTTGTCTAGATTATACAGACTGATAGCTTGCATACCCTTCCACGTTTAAGCCTATGCATTCTTCCGGGTCAAGTTTCCATGGTACTTCCTCCAGGAAGCCTTCTATCCATTTACCAGAGTATTTTCTCTTTCCTCTGATTTCCCAGTATTTTGTGTCTCTGGTAACAGTGATCACATTTTTACTTTGCATTGTGGTCACTGGGGCACGTCACTGTCTTAAAAACTCCAGTTGATAGGGCTTCCCTGGTGGCGCGGTGGTTGAGAGTCCGCCTGCCAACGCAGGGGACACGGGTTCGTGCCCCGGTCCGGGAGGATCCCGCGTGCCGCGGAGCGGCTGGGCCCCTGAGCCATGGCTGCCGGGCCTGCGCGTCCGGAGCCTGTGCTCCGCAACGGGAGAGGCCACAGCAGTGAGAGGCCCGCGTACCAGGGGAAAAAAAACCCAAAAAACAAAACTCCAGTTGATAAACGTCTTTGGAGTTGGGCTCTAAGAGTGCTGAGCAGCCTTGCTGTTCCCTGTCCTTATTGATTCACTATCTATGCTATAATGTGTCCTGAGGGGATAAAATGGTGAATGAAAGAGACAAGGTACCTGCCCTCAGGGACTTTCTAATCTGTGTTGGAAAATGGATAAGCCTTCTCCTCCATCCTCCAATTAAATAATATGCTTATTTATTTAATTATTTGAATCAAATCAATAAATAAGCATATTATTACAGACCATTATAAGTGATGAAAGCATGGTATGTCAGGGGACACCTCCTTGAAGAAGCAGTAACATTTGAGATCCCAACAATGAGTACAGGTTAACTGGGTGACGAGGGAGGGGGCGGGGAGTCGTGTCCCAGGCAGAGGAGGGGCGAGTGCAATGGCCCAGAGTTATGTAGAGCGTGGGGCCTTCAGAGAACTCAGAGAAGCCTAGAGATCAGCAGCGGTAGCTTGTCAAGAGCCTTTTGAGACATGCCGGGCACTGGGTCTTCATCCGAAGAGTCTTAAGTCAATGATGGGTTTTACGAAGAGACATTGACATCAGATTTGTGTAGTTAGGAAAAAATGTACTCTATAAGGTGGCCTGTGGATTAGAAAATGGCGAGAATGGATTTGAGGAGACTGAGAAGTTCCTGCAGTAGATGAAATAAGAAACAGTAGCTTGGCTTAGTGTCCTAGCAAAGGAGATGGAAAAGAAGTGGAAACATTCAAGAGATGTTTGGGAAATATTACTGCAGGACTTGGAAATGGGTTGGATTTGGGGGATATGGGAGAGTGAGATATTAAGGAAGACACCCAGGTTTGTGACATGTATACCTGGACGGACAGTGGTGTCGTTCAAAGATAAGTGTACTGGGAGCTTCCCTGGTGACACATTGGTTAAGAATCTGCCTGATAATGCAGGGGACACTGGTTCGAGCCCTGGTCCGGGAAGATCCCACATGCCGTGAAGCAACTAGGCCCATGCGCCACAACTGCTGAGCCTGTGCTCTATAGCCCGCGAGCCTAGAGCCTGTGCCCCACAACAAGAGAAGCCACCACAATGAGAAGCCCGCGCACCGTACCGAAGGGTAGACCCTGTTTGCCACAGCTAGAGAAAGCCCGCGCACAGCAACAAAGACCCAACACAGCCATAAATAAATAAATAAATAAATAAATAAATAAATAAATAAATAAATAAATAAAAAATGAGTGTACTGAAGGAATATCAGGTCTGGGGAGAAAGGTCATAAAATTGAGTTTTGGAAGTTTTAAAGATTTCTCTTGAGATATCCAGGTAGAGGTGTCAAGTAGACACTTGGGACTTCATGACCTGGAGCTCAGGGGAAAGGGAAGTATATGGCACGTAGATGATAACCCAAGTCAGGGGCTCGGGGGATGAGGAGAGCTCACTGGGGAGGAGGACTGTATGGAAAGAGAGGAGGGCCTGGGACAGAGCTTTACTGAGTTCTGCCATGTAACCAAGTTTCATGAATGAGAGCGCGGTCAACAGGCATTCAGATTCAGCCAAGCTTTTAAGATAAGGATTACACCAGTCTTTTGACCATGGTAAGAGCTGTTTCTGTAGGCAGGTGGGAGCAGAGGCCAAGCTGGAGGAGTCTATGTGTGAAACAAACATGGACCCTGCTTCAGAATAGTCGTCAGTCTTGCAGGGGAGAAGGTTATATAAGCAAGGAGCCTTCTTGGAGGTGGAGACTCCTGAGGAAGTATTTCAAGGGCTGTACTCATTTTTATAACTGCTTAGGTTTAAGTAGAGTACCTTATACTTAGCAGGCCTTTAGTTAATGTCTGCTGCATGAATTTATGAATTAAAGTCTTTCCCCTAAAGAATTGTGGGTGATTATCTTAGGTGGTTTCTTTTACTAGACAGTGGCCTTCAGGTAGAAAAGCAGTCTGTGTGGGTGGATCAGTAGTGGCATCTTTGGATATGAAGAATAGCACATTTTTTTGTAGGCGAGATGTGGGTTCCAAATTCAGATGCTTAAAACTACCAGACAGATACTGTAAATGAATGATGTGGAGATCCAGGTTTGCAAAAGGCAATGACCTAAATTGTGTCGTTCCCAACATACTTTCTAATTTGTATGCACAGGAATAGAGTTCACAAAGAATTACTTCTACTTTTATTTTTCTCTAACCTGTGGTTCTCTTGGTGTGTCATTTTCCTACTTCTGATAGAGCCATGGGTACAAGAGGTACTTTACTTTTTTCTTTCCTATAAGAAAAGAAGCAGAGGCTTGAAGATCAAGGTGATAAATGCTGCTTCAGTCTCAGGCCAGCTGGGGTGGGGGAAGGCGCGGCGGGAGCGTCAAGAACTGTCTGAAGGGGACAGCTACTCCTTGGCTCCAAGTGGTGGTCATCCGGGAATATGATGGCCTCAGCCCCAGGGCTGTCAGGCAGTTTTCCATTTTTTCAAGTGAAGCTGGAAATCCAGATTTGCATATGAAATTTCCTGAGAAATTCGTTCCAGATTGAAAAACAAAAACTCTGTGCCATCAAGTTGCAGCCTGTGTTTGATGTGGGGACACATCTAAAAATGTCTTAAGACCCCTTAAGCACCCTGTGTTTCAGATTTAGTTGGTAAATAAACCACAGATTTCCATCCATGCCACTTTCCTAATCAGCTAGAAAAGCAAGAGGAATGAAAGGTCTTTAGGAACGCAGCTGTGCAGATTCATAGCTGACCATCTCCAGCTTAAGTAGTTCTTTCTTCAGATCTTTCTGAGAATTTGACGAGCATTATGGACCTTCTCCCTTGGGGTAAAATACACCTATGCTCATGCATGCATATGCAGTTTGGGGTGGAGTTTCAAAGGTTTTTCAAATTCTAGCTTAAGAAACCTTCTTGCAGGAAGAACATGTTCTGAAACCACGAATCTCCTACCTTCCTCTCTCTACAGATGAATTTCAGGCCTGTCGTTGCCTCTGCCCTGTTTTCGTGTGCCCTCTGCCTGTGTAGAAGGTCATCTTTCTCTTTATGCATTTTGTATTTTGTGAAAATATTTTCATTAAGAGCAGTTTTTAAAGTTTTTAAAAGCTTCAAGTTCCTTTTTCCTACTCATCATATAATCAAAACATGGATATTTGTAAATAAAAGTAATTAAGAAGCAATTAAGAAATTTTTGCCGCTCTCTTTTCTTAAGAGCAACCTTGGAAACAAGTCTGTATGATTTTTAAAAGTCAGGCCTATCTACCTTTCCACTTTTAGGCAATCCTGTAGTTAACCTCTTTTATATAGAGTAAACTATTTTCCCTTTTATTATTTCCGATAATAAATAATAAACTATCTTCTACTTCAGATGATTGTCTTTCCTCTTGACTCCTAAGTCGGGTGTTTTAGAATCTACTATAAGTAGACCCTGCTGCCAGTGATGTCTCTGTCGCGGAGTATAACTGAGGTCCACAATGATGGCAAGAAGAGGAGTGTGCCAGCCCCCCTTTATGATTCCCCTTCCTTTTCATTTCATTTCTCTTGCAGTGCTGGACATCAGCGTGCTCTCCTCCCAAGATGTGGTCCGTATGCTGTTGTCCCTGCAGCCCTTTCTCCAAGACGCCATCCAGAAGAAGCGCACGGGCAGGACCTGGGAGAACATCCAGCACGTGCAGGGACCACTCACCTGGCAGCAGTTCCACAAAATGGCAGGACGGGGAACCTACGGTAGAATCTTTCCCCTGTTTAAATTCCTCAGATTTTTGTCCTATGAAAAGCAGCTTTAGTTCCTGTCAAGTCCTTCCCTCACTGACAAAATAGAAGCTTTTTCCTCCTGACTGTTAAGTTTTATGATCTCCCTGTTTTCCAGTAGTCAGTTTTGGAGATAATTTTTCTAAATGTCTTTGGCATAATCAAGGTCAGTGGGGCAGATAATCCCTAAGTAGGCGGTTAGTTAGGGTCTGCTTAGCTTCGTGATCCTCACTGCGTTTTCATCTGGGTGAACTTCTGAACTAGTTCAGTCATCTCCTTCATAGTCAGGGTTATGGTGCTCATCTTAAAGGAAATGACATAGTGCTGTTTGGAAAACTAACTTTTAACCTGCTCTAGTCTGCTCTCTGATCTTACTGAAACTTTATAAGCATGTTCTGACTCATTTAATTAAGGTTCTTCATCAGGGGGCATTTAATTAGAGGATTTGAAGAGTACTTTTAAGAGTATCATGTCAACCTACAATAAAATTTCTGATGCCAGAAATAAGGCTATGCACCAGAGAATTCTCAGTTGTCGAGGTTGTGGGAAACAGACCCTCAAGCACTTTCCTAAACTGCAATCTTGTTTTAGGTTCTGAAGAATCTCCTGAGCCGTTGCCCATCCCCACTCTGCTGGTAGGCTATGACAAGGACTTCCTCACCATCTCGCCATTCTCCTTGCCATTTTGGGAGAGGCTGTTGTTGGACCCATACGGGGGCCACCGTGATGTTGCCTATATTGTGGTGTGTCCGGAAAATGAGGCCTTGCTCGAAGGAGCCAAAACTTTTTTCAGGGACTTGAGCGCTGTATATGAGGTGAGAAGGATATGAAAGATGAAAATTGTTTGTATGATACGAGTCCTCAGGTTGTTTCTAGTTATGACTAAATTTTAAAGAACAAATATTTTCACAGTAGGACTCAAAGAAAATTTTCACATAGTTGGAGGATAAAGAAAAGGATCACATTGGCAAGTTTTTCAAGGAGTACATTGCTTTCCCATCTTAGCTTTTATATTTTATTAGATTTAAAAATTTTTTCCTCTACCAGCCTTACCACCCATCTTAAAGTCCCGTCAGCTGTTTTTTCCCCATTTATGTGCTCAAGTTTAAAAGTATTACTCACCAGGGGATAGTGGTTGTTCAGAAGATGAGCTTTATGAAAAGAAAGCACATCTACTCTTGGGGCGGGGAGGGGGGGAGTTCCTGAAAACAGTATAAAAATGTTTAGCTTGAAAATTTCTGAATCATAATAAGTTTAATGACTCATGTCCCTGTTTTATTTAACATTCCATTCATCTTAATACTAAAATTTTGGTACAGATTAATAATGTGATAACCATAGTAATATAAAAGCCACTTAGAATCTAATTTTATATATTTAGTACATAAATTCCTGTTACTTTTGACAAATTAGAATCATGTCTGTCTTTGAAGAGTTAGTGCCACATTTCTTCTGCTAAAGTACATAGACACTAAGGCTTTTGTACCTTATACTTCTGTTATCTGTATATTTGACAAGAATAAATGAAATTAGTATTTATAAAGTATTTAGAGCTGCAACAGGCATATTATAAGCATTACAAAAGTGTTTGCTAAATAAGATGCCAAGTTGAATTTCAAAAATACTCCATAACGGAACATTCACTATCTATAAGTGTATGAGTACACACGAAATAGTAAACTTACGTGTTGCTACCAAGAAGTGAGAAGATGCTAAAGCATGAGATAATGGCATCAATTAAGCCACTGAAGGAAATCCTTGGATACAGTAATTTCTAAACAGTGCCTGGTTCATGATGCCTAATAATATTAAATCATAATTACCCTAACACAGAAAAGTTGTCTAAGCAATCTTAAAGCCCAGCCATTCTTTTGAGTGAAGATTTCAGCGTAAGTTACAAAACATAAAAGGACTGCCAGATCATTTTAGGATTGCTCTTTTGGCAGTAATGCGTACCTGCTTCAGAAGAGTGTACGCTAGAGAAATTTTAGGGGCTTGGTAAGCCTCCTGTTCATCAGCTCTAGTAAGGGCTAATAATATGGGCTCTTTTGCTGGTGAACAGGTAGCTAGGTAGCTTACTTTGTGCAGGTATATTAATTCTCTGCCATAAGCACCCATTTAATGTCCTGCACGTCAGTAACAGAATCTCATTGTGCTAAAACAACTATTTACTTTCAAAAAGTGATCAGCATATCCACTGTTTCCGTGGCCTTTGCTATTGGTGATCTCCAAATGTCTGTAACAATGTAACAGATGGCCCATAAAATTTTAATGTTATCTTATGGGAGAACATCATAAGTCAGGATTACTTAAGAGGTTTTAGTGGACATATGTCTCAGTCAGCCTAAGGAGGCAGGAATCTGGTTAATTGTTTATTTGACCATTAGCAATCAGGTAGTGCTCAGCAATCTTCCCTTGTGCTGGAGGAAGTGGTTGGGGTGAAGAAACATTCATTTTTCTTTAAAAGAAACATTTTTCCTTAGAGAGTCTAGTCCAGGTTTTGGAGAGACAGAGAACAGTTTCAGGCACATTATAATTACCAGAAGGGACCAGCATATAATGTTGGTTTGGTTGCGTGTGGTAACGCTAAGAGACAAAGGAAAATGCTTCCATGTGTATGGTCAAGAATCTCCGTGGTAACGATGTGTACTGAACGAAGGCGTGGTTCCTGTTGTAAACGGCGATCTGATTTGTGCCGTCAGATGTGTAGGCTTGGGCAGCACAAGCCTATCTGCAAAGTGCTGCGTGACGGGATCATGCGCGTGGGGAAGACCGTGGCGCAGAAGCTGGCGGAAGAGCTTGTGAGCGAGTGGTTTAACCAGCCGTGGGGCAGCGAGGAGAGTGACAATCATTCCAGACTCAAACTTTATGCGCAAGTTTGCCGCCATCACCTAGGTAAATGGGGATGTATTTGGCAAAGTAGAATTTGAGAAATAGCAAATCGTTCCCCCTGCTCCCCATTAGACGTGCCACATTATACTTCTTTTGTCTCGGGAAATGTTAGTGTTCCATTACTGTATTTATTTAGGTCTAATTTTTGCATTCTAAGTAGTTAAATGCTAATTTTTATGTGCATGTATATTCTTTAAAAGCTATTTACAGTAGCCTAAGGAAGTCATATCTAATTTACTCCACATTTCGAAAATGTAGCAGCATGACTTGGTATTAACTGCTTTATTTTAACCCAGATTCCCAAGAGAATCTTAGATGCTTACAAAGCCTTACGCACATAGGAGCATAATATACCATGATGGCTGTAGAACATACGGCCTCTCTGTTTTCAGTGAAGGCGTATGGAATCAGTCTGAAAGGCAAATGTTACAAATGATTGATTTTTCTCCCCTCCTCCGCCCCCCCTCCCCAAATAAGGCTCTTCCCCAGAATTTATAATAAGTAACTCCATGTTTATTTCCATGTTTACAGAGCATACAAGCTTATGTTCAGTGGTAGAGATAGCATTTTGGGTGTCATAGAGTAATGCAACCTGGAAGCATAATTTTTTAAAAAGTGACTATTCTAAATATCTGCTTCAGCCAGACACTGCAGAACATTCCTAAAGTCACCTCTCTGCGTGTACACTTTCAGCACCTTATCTAGCCACTCTGCAGCTCGACAGCAGCCTGTTGATACCACCTAAGTACCAGACCCCACCAGCAGCAGCACAGGGACAAGCTACACCTGGGAATGCGGGGCCTTTAGCTTCAAATCCAGGATCGGCAGCCCCCTCAGCTGGCAGTGCATTTAATCCCACCTCCAATGGCAGTTCTGTGAACCCGGCAGCAAGTAGCTCCGCATCTGGTTCCTCTGTGCCACCAGCCTCGACATCTGCCTCTGCTCCCATTATTAACCAGATAAGCACTACCTCTTCTTCAGGATTCAGTGGTAGTGTCGGAGCGCAGAACCCCAGCGCTGGGGCCAGCTCTGCAGAGAGAACGCAAGGGAGCATAGGCTGTGGTGGAGACCCTGAGCCTGGGCAGAGCTCCTCTCAGCCCTCACAGGATGGACAGGAAAGGTACGGTACTCTGACCAAGACGAGTGGCTTCAGCTCGGACCCCTTGTCTACTCTTCCTCTGCACCCCCAGCCCCCTCGACTTCATGAGTCTCTAAACCTTGTAAAGGGTGGTATTTCTCTTCTTCCCTCAAGAGAGTAACAACTGTCAGTCTATAGTTCAGTGTTAAGAAATTTGAGAACTTCTTCTAAACTTATTATATTACTAGTATAATGGTAATATATACTTACTAATTAATATATTTAATGTAATTAATATTACTGTTAATACTCTTATTATATGAACATAATATATGGATAATAGTAATAGTAAGCTCTTACTATTAACGTAACAGCATTATAAAACATCTTTGTAGAATGAAGCCCCGGTGTGGTAGGGGGAAGTTAAAAAAGAGATCTCATTTTAGAGGAGCATGTTGTTGTTTTCCATCCATCTGGATGCTAACTGATTTGGTTTGCCTTCATTTTGGTACATATTAATGTTGCATTTAATCTGTAATCATTGTCCAGGAGTCAGTGTGCTCTGGAATTGATTTATTTTGTATAATTTATATTTATGTTGTGCGTCTCATAAGTGACTCTCTCTGCAGTGTTACAGAAAAGGAGAGGATAGGAATTCCCACGGAGCCTGACTCTGCAGACAGCCAAGCCTACCCTCCAGCTGTTGTCATTTACATGGTGGACCCCTTCACTTATACCGCAGAGGAAGACTCCACTTCTGGAAATTTTTGGCTGTTGAGTTTGATGCGCTGCTACACAGAAATGCTGGATAATTTACCTGAGCATATGAGAAATTCTTTCATTCTCCAGGTAACTATTTGCAAGTTTATTTTTTACGTTGTTGTTGTTTTTATGAAAGTAAACAGGTTCATGATTTTTTTTTAATTGTATGTATATGAAAATAGAAAAAAGTATTCTTAATTCCGCCTTTTAGATTCAGCCATTATTAGCATTTTGGTGTTTTTCTAGCCTTTTTTCTGTGTTTGTTTACACAATTGAGATCATACTTTTCACATAATTTGTAGTCTTTTTGTACTTAAAGTTATTCATGAATGCTTTTCCACCTTATTTAAAATTCTCACCAAGCAACATATTTTTTATAGACTGCATATTTTCCATGTGTAACTGTTTCTCTACAGTTAGATATAATTACTTTTTTTTTTTTTTTTTTTTTTTTTCTTTTT